GAATGGTAATTTAATAAGATAGGAAACTGAATAAGCTAGTTGTTGTGCCAATTTTAGTTTGAATTCTGGTTTGAAAGGTGATTTTAATTTTTCTCTTGAAGTGACTGACATACGGGGCTGATGTACCACTTGCACAAGGAAAAAGTTATGTAAAAAAAGGTTGCATCGATGATGCGATGACGAGTGATGATAAGCAGTGTGTTCCCGTCAAAATTTTTTTTCATTTATTTTTATACGTTTTGTGTTTTTCCCACCGTAGATGAGATCTACGATGGTCAAATCCCTTCTTTGGTTCCCATGCAGAACTTTCTCAATCCCGTTGTCGTTTTTCCACCGTAAATGAGATCTACGATGGACAAATCCCTTCCTTGGTTCCCATGCAGAACTTTCTCAATTTTTTTACATTTGTTTTTATACGTTTTTTTACACTTATTTTTAACAGCTACACAAAATACGTATTGTTTCGGGGTTGTCTATGTGTGTGCATGAGTGTGTGTCTGTGTGTATGTATGTGTGTGTGTGTGTGTGTGCGTATGTGTGTATGTGTGTGTATCCGCAGCAATTTGTTTTCCCTACGTTACGATTAAAATAATTTGTACTAGCACATAGCGGGGGTTAAAATTGCCATTAGTTTACCCGTAGGAGATTTCTGAAGAAAGGAACTATCGACGGCTGCGCGGGCAACTAGTTGCTATCGGCATGCGCTACCGATCGGCCCGTTTTCGAGTGCCTGCACCTCAGAAAAAGGGAGCACAGAGGGGGGTAATCGCGGTTTTGATGATTCCTTCCTGGTTCCGCCGCTTTTCCCACCGTAGATGAGATCTGCGATGGTCAAATCCCTTCCTCGATTCCCATGCAGGACTTTCTCAGTCCCCGTTGTCGACTTTGATGGTGAAAGCACCGCAAAATTGAATTTTGTTAGTGAATCTTATATGCAAGTTTTTATCTGCATGTGAATTTAGGTGGCCAGTGAATTGATCAATCGGAACAATGAATTTCCTGTTGAAACTATCAAAGAAGGCGAGGAACCGGAAAAATTCTGGGAATGTTTGGGAGGCAAAAAGAAATATGACGTAAATGGTGATTTCATGCAATTTACCAGGCTTTTCCGTTGCACAAACGAGAAAGGATACTTTGCAGTTTCCGAAAAAACTGTTGATTTTTGTCAAGTGAGTCTTATTGAATGTTGTAGAAATTTTAAAAATACAAACAGTGAATATTCCTGGCAAGGAGACTGGAAGAGAATGGGGGCCCGAAATCTTCTATGTGCTAACATACGTGGTTTATTCGGCGTTACTGGCTCACCGTGGGGAAGAGCACTGCCGATTTTTGATAATTAATGAAAACACATTGGAAGTAGTGCCATTTAGATTTCCCAAATAAGCAAGCCTGTATGTATAATGACTTGGTAGCCTGTCAGTGTTTCATCCCTGAGCTGTAAACACAGACGGTAGAATCGGTGTGGGATGGAGTGGGAATCATCGGTACAGTGCCGCATTCCGCCATGTTAAAAGGAACTTAGTTGATTACTGAAGAAAGATGAAGTTTTTTTTTTGTCACATTTTTTAAACGTTTTTTGAGATGTCGATGTTTAGCACATAGTTATTGCAACACGATCGTCCAGTCTAGTCGCTGTGTAGTTTGTATATTGGTAATGCTACTGAGGTGGAACCCACATGTGTGATACGCTAGCAGCGGTAGTCTCTTCCTATAACAAAGGAAAAATTCTTGAGAATTTCTCCAGCATCTACCAATAAATCGATTTTTTTGCCTTTTTTTCGTAAGCTAATTCCTTGGCCTGCGTTTTTCTGGAACCAGAAATTACCTGCCCAAGTTGGTTGGTCATTGCCGTCGTTGTTGATTGTCACCTTCGTTGTTCCTGTTGTCAGTGCTGTGCTAAGATACTTCATTTCTCATAATTTTTAATATTTCTTTATTGAGCATAGTATTCGATAGTTTATTTTGCAGGATGATCTTGACGATGATGATATAATGATTCTGGATAATGGTGATATGGTCTTCCTGTGGATGGGATATCATGCGAGCGAAGTTGAGTTAAAATTAGCTTACAAAGCAGCTCACGTATGTAATTTTCTGTAGAAATTTTTAACTTCATTTAATGGTTTATTTATGCAGTGAAAAAAGTATTTTCGGCAAGGACAGGAGTGTCATTTCCAAGCAAAAATCGTAAAAGTCTGCAGAAGAAGAAATATTGGAAATTAAGGAAGCAAAACTTAGTAGGAAAAACACGAAAGCCACTTAGATGGGTGTGGAATTTAGCCGGAAAGATGCGAAATTCAGCTAAGAGGGGTAGAATCGGGCAAAAAGTGGATCAGGATCAGCATGATGAAATCAGCCCAATAAGCTGATAAATGAGTCCAAAAATTGGAAATACGCCAAGAAACCCCAAACATATGTGGAATAATAGATTGCGGCCATTAGAAGGCCGAATCGTGTAATCTCAAAACAAGTGGATGGTCCAAAGAAAACGAAATGTAGGGCAACCGGAGTTAGAAAGTTCAAACAAAGGGTGGGATAAATTTGCTAAAATAATTTGCGGCCGTTGATAGGTCGAACTTGTAGTCTTTAAAACAAGGGGACGGTCCGAGGCAAACAAAATATGTAACGGCCACAGTCGAAAAATTTTAAGCTAGGGTGAGGTTAGCTAAATATTAGTGAAAATTTTTGCGGGGAAATTGTTATCTCGGGAACCATAAAAGCCAGGAAGCTGAAATTTTATGGTAAAATCTTCTGTTTTTAAAGAGAGTAGGGTAATTCATGTGGGGCACGAAACTGTATGAAATTTTGCAAGGTCATGTAGAAAGAAATATGTTGGAAAAGGTCTGCCAGTGTTTCATCCCTTAGTTGTAAACACAGACAGTATAAGGAGCGATTAGGGACGGGAATCCTCAGTGCAGCTCCATAACTACTACGTAAATACGTCAGGTAGCGAGTTTTTTGAAGCCAGATGCAAAAATAATGGCGTCGCCAGTCTGGTCAGGAAGCAAATTTTTGGACTGGGAATGTCAGAGCTTTGCGGTTGTTTTTATGCGTTTTTACAGCTGTGCAATGCGGAAAAAGCGTGTTGACGAGAGGTTGTCTGTGTGTGTCTGTGTGTGTGTGAGTGTCTGTGGGTGCGCTGCTCGTCTGCACCGATTTTTCATCTCGAGACCTACAAGAGCTACAGGGCTGAAAATTTGGAGACTTAATCTACATGCACGTACGAGCCCCCACCCCCAAAATGGGCGGACTTACCCGCGTGGTACCTATGTAAGAGCCCGCTAAAGTTTTTTTTTACGGGCAAGCTGCTAACTCGCAATCAGAAAAGCTGAAATTTTAAGGGGTGTTTCCAGATTGACGGCCAGTTTTAATTTGTTTAGCTAGAAGTATTTGCCGCGAAAACCGGTGCCGGTAGCGACAAAAACGGCGAGGAACTATGCAAAAAACGCATCTTCGCACGGGCAGCCCGTGCGTTGGCCAATTATTGTAGAATTGAAAACGCTATCTGCTTTCCAAAAGGCTGTTTATCACACAGCTCAGGGATGAAACACAGACAGGCTACCAAGTTACAATGCACATAAAGTTTTACTTATTTGGGACACCTAAATGCCATTTCCTGTTTTTCACATTAATTGTCAAAATTCGTTTGTGTTCCTTTTCATGGTGGCCCAATAAACTACATATTTTGAAACATAGGAGATTCAAGGGCCCCGTTCTTTTCTAACCTCCTTGCCAGGAATATTCACTGTTTGTTGTTTCTTAAGAAAAAAAAATTTTCTACAACAGTTAATTAGCCATTCCTTTTCCAGGTATACGTTGCACATATGAAGAACAAGCAGCCTGAAAGGCCACGAAGATTGGTGCTAAGCTTGAAGGGCAAAGAATCCAGGCGTTTCACGAAATGTTTCCATGCATGGGGCAAACACAAAATCCCAGCTGGTGATGCACTGTAGTAATTTCCCCGTACATTTTTTTCCGGCGCTAGGGCGGGTATCACATCGTCATTTCCACTTAATAATTTATTTCATCCAGTGCAATCTTCTATTTCCGCACTTGTATTTCTGCTGTAGATTTATTCCGGCATAACAAATCCGCTTCACAAATACACCATCGCATATGTGTTGAATTGAATTCAACAGCTGTACTTCTTCACAAGATCTCTGCTCCTTCTGTAAAAGCATATGTTCCACAATCATCTCTGAAGAATATGTTTTGTGCTTTCATTGTTCAATGTTTGGTTTTTCAGTGCCTTATA